TTTCTGCTGCTGCCAGAGAAACCCCTCAAAGCCCAGAGACCTCTGGGAGAGAGAACCCGACCCCAAACAGGATCCCAAACCTGACCCCAAACCTGACCCCAAACCTGACCCCAAACAGGATCCCATACAGGATCCCAAACCTGACCCCAAACCTGACCCCAAACCTGACCCCAAACAGGATCCCAAACAGGATCCCATACAGGATCCTATACAGGATCCCAAAGCTGACCCCAAAGCTGACCCCAAAGCTGACCCCAAAGCTGACCCCAAAGCTGACCCCAAGCCGCCCCAGCCCCATCCCCACGCTGGCTCTGTGGACACCTGCAGGTGTCACTGGCTGGAGCCAGCCCCAGGTTCCTGCGGGTTCCAGCGCCCGGAGCTGTCCCGGGAAGCCCGGGGGGATCCATCCCTCACCATCCGAGTCCTCCTGCCCGGGGTTCGGGACCAGCCTGCAGTTATCGGGGCCCGGGGGCCTGAAGTCCGGAATTCCATCATCATCATCATCCTCGTCGCACTCGTCTCCCAGCCCGTCCCCGTCCGTGTCCACCTGCGAGCTGTTGGGCACCGTGGGGCAGTTGTCCCGGGAATCCTGGTGCCCGTCCCCGTCGCTGGGGACAAGGGAAGGGCCACGTCAGCCAGGGCCACCAGCTCGGGGACCCCCCCGGGGCTGGGACCCTCGGCTGGAGCGGCGGGGTTGGGAATTCCGGCCTTAAAGGGAAGTGGGTCGGGGGTGTTCCCGCTGGGATCGGCTCCGGGATCGCTCCTGGGGTCGCTTTTGGTGAAGTCTGAAGGAAATTCCAGCTCTAAAGTTTTTCTAGGGGAAGGCCAAGCCGGGTTCTCGCAGCCCTTCGGTCCCTTCGACCCCGGGATTTTGTGCCAATAAACAGAAATTTTAATTTCTGCAGCTCACCTGTCCTGGTTGGTGTCACAGGCATCTCCCACCAGATCGTGGTCGGTGTCTTTCTAGAAAAATACAGGGAGAAAAATGGAAATTTTCCAGAGGAAAAGGCAAGAAAAAGAACAGAGAGCTGCCAACAGCAGGGGAGCCCTGAGGGAGGTTTTGGGGGGATTCTGAGAATTCCAGCAGTGGGAGGAAGGGAGAGCCCAGAGTGCCAGACTTTGGCTCCAGAGGGAATTTCCTTCTGTGCCACAGCGGGTGGCAGCTGGAATTGTCACCTGGGCACGGCCTGGGTGATGTGGGGTGACAGGAGGGGCCCTGCAGGACCCAGAATTGTCACCAGGAGTTGTGGGGTGACAGGAGGGGCCCTGCAGGACCCAGAATTGTCACCAGGCGTTTTTGGGGTGACAGGAGGGGCCCTGCAGGACCCAGAATTGTCACCAGGCGTTTTTGGGGTGACAGGAGGGGCCCTGCAGGACCCAGCCCGGGGGTTCTGTACCTGGTCAGGGTTGCTGAGGGTGGGGCAGCTGTCACAGGCGTCCCCCACGCCGTCCCCGTCCCCGTCCCTCTGGTCAGGGTTGGGCACTCTCTTGCAGTTGTCCATGGGGTTTTTGATCCCTGGAAAACAGGGGACAGTGGATCCACAGGAATCCAGGGGGGTGAAGTCCTGGATAAAGCACGGATTTCAGGATTTGGGGGTGGCGTTTGCTGGGATTCCGCTGCTGGGAGCGGTTTTTGTGCTCAGCTCGGTCCCCAAAGCCAGCCAGGTTCGTCCCCAGCCCAGGGGACAGCCCTGACACCCCCAGCCTCCAGCCAGGAGCTGCAGGCACCTGCCATATCCCCAAATTTCTCCTTAAAACGCAGCACGGGGCAGTGAGGGACAATAAAAACCGCAACAAATCCACGCTCCGGGCGGCTCCCGGGCGGGGACAGCCGGGTTTGCCGGCCGGGATCGGGCCGGTCCCAGCGGGACTCCGGGATGCGCCCGGCTCTCACCGTCCCCGTCCATGTCATCGTCGCACTCGTCCCCTTTGCCGTCGCCGTCGATGTCCCTCTGGTCGTTGTTCTTCACCTGCCGGCAGTTGTCACACGCGTCCCCGAAGTTGTCCCTGTCGGCGTTGCGCTGGTCCGCGTTCCGCGTGTACACGCAGTTGTCCTGCGGGAGGGGACGCGGCTGCCACCGGGCACGGACCCCAAATCCCCCCGGGGCTCCCCCAGAGCCCGCAGCTTCCTCGGCCGCGTCCTGGAGCCCCCGGGAACCCGGAGGGAATCCACAGCCGGAGCTTGGGATGCACAGCGGGAGCTTGGAATTCCCAGTGGGACCTTGGAATTCCCAGTGGGACCTTGGAATCCACAGCGGGATCTTGGAATACACACTGGGAGCTTGGGATGCACACCAGGACCTCGGAATTCACACTGTGACCACTAAATCACCAGAGACCTCTGAATTCCCCCTGGGATCTCTGAATTCTCCCTGGGATCTCTGAATTCTCCCTGGGATCTCTGAATTCCCCCTGGGATCTCTGAATTCTCCCTGGGATCTCTGAATTCCCCCTGGGATCTCTGAATTCCCCCTGAGATCTCTGAATTCCTCCTGGGATCTCTGAATTCCCCCTGGGATCTCTGAATTCCCCCTGAGATCTCTGAATTCCCCCTGGGATCTCTGAATTCCCCCTGGAACCTCTCAGTTCGCAGTGGGACCTTGGATCTCCCACTGGGACCCCCTGAACCCCCCCGGGAGCCCCGAATGCCCCCCGAGGGTGCTGCAGGAGCCCGGGAGGGGCAGCAGGGCCCGCACCTCGGTGTTTGGGATCCCGTCCCCATCGGCATCATCATCGCAGGCGTCCCCGATGCCGTCCCTGTCCGCGTCCTCCTGGCCCGAGTTGGGGACGGTGACGCAGTTATCCTGCCAGGAGAGGGACAGGGATGCGGGAACCGCCCCGCAGCGCCCGGGTTATCCCCGCAGGGATAACGGGAATGCCATTCCCGGCTTTCCCTCCCTCACCTTGCGGCATTTCTTGTCGGAGCAGCGCTGCTTCTCGTCGGGGACTCCGTCGATGTCCGTGTCCTTCCCGCACACGAAACCATTCCCTGCCCAGCCCACCAGGCACTGCAAAGGGACACACGGTCGGCCACGGCTCTCCCAAATCCAGCGATTTGCGGGAGAAACGGCGCCGGACGCTGCAGATCCAGGGACGGGAAAGCCTGCAGGGAAATAAGGCCCGGGAGGAACATCCCTGGGATTTCTGCTGCCGGGAGCAGGAGCTGGGCTGGGGATGCTGAGGGGATTCTCCCCGCTCAGATCCAGGGAATTCCGTGCCCGGGGGATTTGCAGCGCTCCAGGGCAAAGCGGAGCCCCGAAAAGCGGCAGCGGGGAGGGTTTGGGAAGGGCGATCTCCAGGAGAGGGCAGCGGCAGAGCCGGGACAGCAGCGCGGGGCGAGGGGACGAGAGAGCAGCGGGACCCCAGTCCCGGGGGTTCGGGACCAGCCCCCGATCGTGCGGGAATCAGAGCACACCCCAATTGTTGGGGGGGTTGGACCTGACCCAAATCCCGGGGCGGGGTCGGAGCGGGACCCGGGAATAGGGGATGGGACCCGAGCCCAGTCTCGGGAGATGGGACCCGGTCCCGGTGTCGCTAGAACAGAACCCGGTCCCGGTGTCACTAGAACAGAACCCGGTTCCGGTGTAGCTCTGACAGGACCCGCTCGGTGCCGGTGTCACTCGGACAGGACCCGGTTCCGGTGTAGCTCTGACAGGACCCGCTCGGTGCCGGTGTCACTAGAACGGGACCCGCTCGGTGCCGGTGTCGCTCTGACAGGACCCGCTCGGTGCCGGTGTCCCCCGGGCCGCACCTGGCAGGACAGGGAGCCGTCCCTCTCCACGATGCACTCGGCTTTCTCGTGGCACGGGCTGATGTCGCCGTTGGGGCAGCGCCGTGTCCCCGCGGGGGGCTGGCTCCGGCAGCCGCTGCTCTGGTCCCCCACAAAGCCCGGCTTGCAGGGCCCGCATTTGTAGGATCCCTGCGGGGAGAGCGGGGAGCAGCTCCGGGAATTCCATCCCAGCCCCTCCCGGCCCTGCCAGGAACAATTCCTGCCCAGGATCCCACCCAGCCCTGCCCTGTGGCACTGGAGCCATTCCCTGGCTCCTGGCCCTCCATCCCTTGTCCCTCTCCAGCTCTCCTGGAGCTCCTCAGGCCCTGAGGGGGCTCTGAGCTCTCCTGGATCCTTCTCCTCTCCAGGTGAGCCCCCCCAGCTCTCCCAGCCCGGCTCCAGGGGGGCTCCAGCCCTTGGATCCCCTCCGGATCCCTGAGGATTTACCCGAGTGTTGATGCAGATGGAGTTTGGGACACAGTTGGTGGCAGCTCCAGTCTCACACTCGTTGATGTCGGTGCACACCTGCCCAGGAGGAGCGGGACACACCTTTACCTTCCCTCCAGCCCGATCCCGGGATGTCGGCGGGGCCAGGAGCAGGAGCAGAGCCCTGGCACCCCTCACTAGCCCAGGGCTAGGAAAGCTTCAGGCAGATCCCAGCAGGATTCCAGCCTGGGAACAGAGCCCCGAGCTGAGCCGCTGGAATATCCTCACTCTGGAAGGGTGATTCCATGGATTTGGAAGCTCAGTGGCTGCATGCCATGAGCGGCCCCAAATTCCCAGAGCCACGTGTGGGACAACTATCCCTAAAAACCCCAGTCAGCTGTTGGGATTTTTAATCTGCCTGGAGCTGTCAGAGACACTGGGAGGGGGTGGCAGCAGCTGTGTGGACTCTGCAGGAAGGATTCCCATTCCCATTCCCATTCCCATTCCCACTCCCATTCCCAGAGGGGTTGGGATGCTCTGTCCAGCCCCAGTTTGGCATAGGGGAGGTGGCTCTGGAGCTCAGGACATCCTGGGCGCTCTCCTCTCCCTGGAATCACGGAATCCCAGAATGATTTGGGCTGGGAGGAGCTTTCCATCCATCCATCCATCCATCCATCCATCCATCCATCCATCATCCATCCATCATCCATCCATCCATCATCCATCCATCCATCCATCATCCATCCATCCATCATCCGTCCATCCATCCATCCTCCATCCATCCATCATCCATCCATCATCCATCCATCCATCCATCCATCATCCATCCATCATCCGTCCATCCATCATCCGTCCATCCATCCATCCATCCATCCATCCATCCATCCATCCATCCATCCATCCATCATCCATCCATCCATCCATCCATCCATCCATCCATCCATCCATCATCCATCCATCCATCCATCATCCATCCATCCATCATCC